TAGGGCCGACCTCGGGGGAGGACTATGACGAACACCTCTTGGAGAGGTTGTATCTATGAGTGTTTGATTGAGTGCCACTTTTGTGGGCTTAAATAGGCTTTGCCTATTGTTTTGTTTGTTGCATCGATGACTTGGGAGAACGCACCCACTCATCCCGGGGTGTGAACTCTTAGGACTTAGCCAATTGTAGCATTTCCCTCGTGATTTTCACGTAGTTTGCTTTTGGCGTCGTCCAAAATTTTTGAGTTCTTTATGACGTGATCCCTCGAATTTGGAGATTGCACGTCAAACTCTAATAGACTGAAGATTTTATGACGCAAAGTGTGGTGCGAGCCTCACTTTGGTCGTCTTCAGTTTTTTTGTTTTTGGTTTGTTTTGTTCCGCAAGCAGGTGGCTCAAACAAGTTTATCACCTGTGAGCACACCGCTCACCAGATTTCTCTTACTCCGTGAGTAATTTAATCAACGGACAACCAGACATTTTGTAGATCTCATTTGAAATCTGATTTGGGCCTGTGGAGTGTGACCGGATCCGTGGAGCATAGATACCCGGGCCAGGCAATAACAATCCTTACAATATTCTTCTATTAACGGATTAACTTTGAAAATCAATTTTTATTCACCCTCTACCATTTTTTGCGTATAAATTATCAAAAACATTTATCTCATTTAAAAGAACACAAGTCCATTAATTAAAGGTTAAAATCGTTAGTGGATCTATTGACAAATTATACCCAAGTTGGGTCCATTTAATGCCTACGTACTATTAAAAATGCAAAAAATGCCATCACCCCCAAGTCAACACACCATATTGCATAGTCACTGTTGCAACCTTGTTCCCCTCCAGCGCTGAAATCCCCATCCAGCCGACACTCATAACCCGCTAGTGACCAAGAAACAGAGAAACAACGCGCGAGATATGATCGAAGAGCCTAGACGGCGCAAGCTCCTACCCCAAATCAATGCCCTTCTTCTGCTCGCCACTGGCCGACAGCTCTAGAAAAAGATGGTCGGGACCTCGTCGTTATTCTTCGTCCTATGCGGATCAAACACCAACTAACGACCCTCCATTTCCAACAGTGGCCGGAACATACAACCTTCAGATCTGGCGAAGAGGAGACTCAGATCGCTCCTTTAGAATTCAGATCTGGAAAAAAAAGAAGACTTGATGATGAAGAAAATTAAAAGAAAAAGAATACTTGAATGGGGGAAGAAAGAGAAGAAAAATGAAGGGCGGACGAACAAGAGAAGAAAAAGAAAAGAAAAAGAAGTGGGTGACCGAGAATACTTTAGTCATTTTAGGGCAGTGGGTATACCCGTAACGCCGACCGGCGTTATGCCGGTTTTCACGCCCCGGGGGCGTTAAACACCGCCCCCCGGCGGCGTTACCCGGGCGTTACTTGGCGTGCGTCAAACGAATGACGCAGCGTCATTCGTCTCCCCCTCCCCCCTAACGGCTCTTTGAGCCGTTGCACCCCCAATTCAAAAAAAAAACTCTTTTTATTATAAATTCAAACCCCCCCTTTCCAATATCTCACACCATCTCTCTTCTTATTCCTAATTTTTAAATTTCAAAATTCAAACCCCCCCTCCCAATTTTCAACATGAATCCTTCTGGCTCCGGCTTCTTTCCCGACAATCTCGCGCCCGTCGACGCCGCGATGTGGTATTACCAAGAGTTGGGTGATCAACCGCCGATGTACGAGACACAACAATCGGGGTACGTCGACCGAGCTTCGGTCCCGGACACTCAACCGGAACCGTCCGGGTCGAAAAAAAGTACACGTCAGAAAAGCCACAAAGCCAAAAGCACGTTGACCACGGTCAATCCAAAAGTGGACGCCGGAGGAGGAGTGCATATTGGCGTCGGCTTGGGTAGACGTCTCCGAGCATCCTATCATTGGTAAAAAATTTATTTTTTCTAATATATTTATGTTTTTATTTATATATATTATATTTAATGGTGTCTAAAAAAATTGTGTAATACATTTTTTAAGGTACGGAGCAAACGAAGGATGCGATGTGGGATCGTATCGAGGAGAAGTTCTTCACGGCGATGAAGCCACATCAACAAAAAAGTCCGAAAGTTTATCGGAGTTTACGAGGAATGCTCCCGGTCCCGGAGGAGCGGCACGAACGACGCCGATGTTCTCCAGCTTGCCACGACTCGGTATCAAGACGACGGGCACCAAGGCAAGGTGCCCATCGATCTTTGGAGGATTTTGAGTCGTTCCCCGAAGTGGCAACAACTCAACAATCCCGACGGCGGATCGTTCCGGAAAAGATCCACCGTCAATGCCGAGGTGTAGGTCGACGAGACTATCGGTTCTACCGATCAAATCCCTCCCTTCAACGTTGCGGATTCCGATGACGAGGACCCCATTCCACGGCCGATCGGAAGAAAGAAGGCAAAATCCATTGCCTCTGGTTCGGGAGGGTCCGCCTCTGTTTCCGCTTCTCCCCACGACGAAATCGGTCGGGCAATGATTGAACAACTTCGGGCGTTCAATCTCCAAGAACAAGAGAGGTTGAAGCTACAGGAGAAGGAGTTGAAGCTAAAGGAGCAGGAGGCCGAGATGAAAGTCATGCAAACCGACCCCGCGACGTTGTCGGAGTTTGGACGAATGATCTACGAGCAAAGAATGAGAGAGATCAAGGAGAAATATAATTTACCTTAGTTTTTTTATTAATGTATATTTTTTTAAATTATTGTCGCTTTTTTTATTTAATTAATATATTTTTTTATTATTCGTGTTTCAATTTAATTAAATAATAAATTAATTACATTTTATTAATTTAATTTTAGAAGATGTATATTTAAAAATGTAAAAAATGAAGGTTTGAAGCCCCAGTTTGAAGCCCCGGGGCTTCAAAACCATTTCCAGTGAATTTTGGGTGTAAGTTAAAGCTGACGTGACAGAGAGAGAAAGTTTGAAGCCCCGGTTTGAAGCCCCGGGGCTTCATGACCATTACCAGTGCTCTTAGCATAAAAATTTACGAAAAAGGAAATGGTAGATTATTTTGGATGAACGAAAAAAGAAAAGTGAAAAGATAAAAGTTACAGAGTATATGGAGTGTGTAATACTCCCTCCGTCTCGAAGTATTTGTCCAGTTTTGACTTTTGGAACTGTTCATCTAAGCACTTTGACTCATCAAATTCTCTCAATGTGTAAGCCTAAATATAGTCATGTGTGATCTTGTTTGATTTGTCTTAACATATAGATTATTAATATATAATTTCTATAACTTTTTAATATATAAATTACAAGATAAAATAAATGGATTAAAGAAGTGTATTAGATGGTGTAAAAATAAAAGTGGACAAATACTCTGGGACGGAGGTAGTATATATTTATATACAAATAGAAATATTAATGATCATATTATAAATTGTGTAAAAGGTGGATTCAACTATGTTTAATATTCACATAAACACTTTTTAATATTTATAATATTCTCAAAAATATGTATTCTTAATTTTGTTTTTGAATAGTTCCCAAATTCAGTATAGTGTCCAATCTTATAATTTCAATGTCTTAAGTGTAAGAATGAAGATCAAACACTAGATATGCAGAAAGGTTCACTACGTCAACATGTTTCCACTTAACAGAATTATCGTAAGTATATGCCTTGTTAAAAATTAGTTGGTATAAGTACTCCACTACTCTCTTCGCCGCTAAAAGATTTATCTTTTTCACTTTTTTCTCATTTCAAAAAGTCTTTTCACTATTTATTTAAAATTGATTTTTACCATACTAATTGTTTATCCTACTTATCATACTCCATCACATATCGAATGCTATTGACTCTTACAAAGTAGTATCTGTTCATACTATTCTCAATTTAATAACGCACAAAGAGTCAATGCTTCTGCCTCCACTGGGGCTCGAACCTGGGTAACTTGCCCATGAATCCTGGAGAGTGGACTTGTTACCACTCAAAATGTGAAAGAGGTTTTAGAATGGGGGTG